GCGTAGTCAATGAAATAGGTATAGTTTCTCCTCCTATGAAGATAATAATCTAACTGGAAATTTATATTAAACAAACACAAAGTGATGTAACTATTAAGATATTTAGTAAGAACACAAATAACATTTGTTTTTCAGTTTACTCAAAAAAGAACTATGGTTTCCTGTAAAGAGGTAGTTTTGCCTGGATTTTGATTCCTTCCAAAATAGTTTCAATAAAAAAGAAAAAAATACCAGAAACTCTACATAGACATACTAAATTATTTCTGAATGAATGAATTTGCTTTGGATGTGGAAAACGACTAAAGGCATTCCCTGCCCCCCCCCACCTTCAACCACAAAGAATCAGTTCAAGTTATTCTAGAAATATCTTTAAACAGCAGCAGCTTCCAGGAGAATTAAAGGCCATTTTAGGTTAATGGTCACTGGCTTCATGTATAGCCCTCAATTAAACGCTGAAGTTCAACTGTTAGTACACAGTTGACATGGTTATATTTCATGCTGGCATTTCAAAATGACCTTGTTTTAAATGAGTGAAGCTGATCTGACCAAGTTGCACCTGACATGGCTACCCTAGTCAACCTTTGCTGTACACATGGTCCAGCTGAGGACTCTCTGCTTTGCTGTTGCTAGCCTAGTATTTATCATCCTCTTCTATGACATGAGACAGCTCAGGAGAAGCTCAAGAGACAAAAAAAAGAACAAAACAAAACAAAACAAAACAAAAAACCAAACATATCTTTTGCCATATTGAAATACCAAAGTAAGCTCTGTTATATCATCTTGAGTGTTGAGAGTAAAATGGTTTAGCAAATACCTTGCAGACATAAGTTTGGGCAAGCTATATTTGGTGGCACTGCAGGCACATTTTAAGAAAAAAAATAGTTTTATATATATACACATATATTTTTTTTTCAAGTGACTTTGAATGCTTAGTAGTTGTAGGGAACTACATGAAGACCTACCATCTTTGTCCTCACACCGGAAGCAGCAAGCACAAGTTGTCCTTACCTAATCAATGATTTGTGTTTTTTATAAAGTAGGCATGGCACCCAGATTGAACTCTGCTACACTCACTGAAATGAATCAAGGCATCATGTGAACACTTCCTGTCCCCCATGTATTGTAGAAAAGTTTTAAAAGGCTCTTTGGAATTACTTTGATCAAGCTTTGAAATCATTTTCGTGGATGACTATTGTATGAAAACTGTAATTTATGGGGCCTGACCTGAGCAGTCCTTTGTCTCACAGCCATATTCAAAACAATAGCAGGAAAGCACAAAACACGAGGGAACCCAGGCTCTTCTGGTTATTATTTAATTCCTAATCCCATCTTTCCTTATTTAACCTTTAGAATCAGGCATACTCTTCATAAAACAGCTTCAGATTGGGTTCCTACAGAAAGGAAGGTCAGTAAGATGATTAGGTAGGCTCAACTATGTCCCTTATGACCCCTCCTTAACTCAAGTGACTCAGGTTGAGATAGGCAACTTGTGATTTGGTGGCACTGCAGGCACATTTCCATTGTTTGCCTGGTAAGTTCCCTCTCAGTTTGTTCTTGAACCCTAATCAAGAATGTGCCCACAGGGAGGGCATCTCCTCCCATCCTTGTCATAAATACTTATTCTATGAAGCAGTCTCCTCTCAGAGACATGGGCAACGGCAAGCTGCTCTCACAATAACCCAGCAGAGTGACTCACTGAGCCAGAAAGAAATTTTACTGTTTTAATTCACAACTATGATCAGATGAACACAGTCATGTGGGCTGAAAGGCGCTATAAAACCTTCCATGTCATGGCTTCTTTTGTGATTCTCCCCCCCCCACCCCCCACCCCGGGACAGAGGCTCATACTGTAGCCTTGGCTGGCCTGGAAACTTCTACCAGACTGCCCGTGTCTTGAGGGCAGGGACTAATGACATTTGCTACCATGTCCAGCTTTGTTGGCTCCTTTTGCCAAAACATTTGCCTACAGCATAAATCGCATATGAAATATTTCTAAGTTAAGCACACAGGAAGATCCTATAGGCACTGGTGACATGCACTCTGGTATCATGGCTGGTGAAGTGCATGAGTTTTGCCTTTACTTGAAGAGACAGTCAGTTTTGACCTCCCAAGGATCTAGAGAAGATGTAATCTTGGTTCTGGGATCATTGTCATCTACAAAGAAACAATAAAGAGACTGGTAGGCAGGCATAACCATGTGGAAGGAAACGTGAGGATAATGAAAGGGAAGATGACCAGGAAGAAGTAGGAAAAGAAGAAATACACATTGCTGTTTAGATTTCATTTAATTGAAATGCCAGGCCTGAAACAGGTTCAAAAGAGCAAACACCAGGTATCTTTGGTTCCAGTGTAGAAAGTAAACAGTGGGCGCAGGTCCCCAGGGAGAGTCAGTGAACTAACTGTTCACTTTGGTGCTGGGTGTTAATTAGTGTAGCCAGCCAGGGGACTATTTAGACTACCTCATCAGGGCTCTAAGCAGCCTCCTCCCTGGTGGCTCTCAGCAGTTAATGCAATCCCCAAAGATTAATAATTCATCATTTTTTCCAGAGCGGCGTTAAGCCTTGCAGGTAAGGAGGGCTTATAGCTAAAATGAATACTTCTCTTAAGAGGTGGACTTCAGAACTCTGAACTTTGTCATGTGTAGAGAAGTTGATGTACACCTTACTGGAAGGTGAAAGAAAAGATTCTCAATTGTTTATGTTTTTTTTTAGGAAGGAGAGAGAAGGGTAGAGAGGATCATCAGTTGGATCAGCCTTGTTCAGAGTTCATACCTCTCCACTGTTTAAAGGGGTCTAGTGTGTTTGTGGGTACAGGTGTGTGGCAAGTCTCTGGGACAGAGGGAGCACTGTTGTAGAATTATGTTTTACTCATATTCCTGCATCCTGACTCAGTGCAGTTCATCATCACAGTGTGCAAAATGGTCCATGAAGATATTAAGGATTTGCCTTTAACATGAATGCTCGAATGATGACAGACATAAAAGTAAGCAATCTCACGACTGCCATCCAGGGCTGAAGCTTGGGTTGCCTATACTAAAAAATAAACAGGCAAGCAATGTATAGGGATGTTGTACAGGTATTTTAAAGACATTTGTATGAAGGTTTTGCCTGGACGTATGTATGTGTACCATGTACATGTGTGGTGCCCATGGAGGACATGGATCCTCCTGGAGCTGCTATTTGGGTGCTGCGATTTGAACCTGGATCCTCTACAAAAGCACCATACTCTTAAATAAATTAAAATAATAATAAATTAAAATATCTCTACAGCACTCAGACAAGTACTTTTAAGACAGAAGAAAAGTCGGAGGTTTTAAGCCTCCCATCTGGAAGTGTCACTCCTCCTTCTCCGGATGTCTCTAAGGAAACACAGTGGACACAGGGCTCACACTGGTTTTTGAGTCACTCACTACATTACCGCAGTACTTAGTTTACTGTTGGTTTCTTTCTTGCCTTGAAGGGCCAGACTGTGAAGCTTCACACAAACACTGGGTGGTATCGCTGTTGGGGCTCAGCAGAACCTTTCCACAACACATTGTGGCAAGGCTCCAGGTAGGAGGGTGAACAGCAAACGCGAGCACCTTTGAGGCACCTTTACAATTTATTAGTGAATGGTCATCATAAATTAGCCCAGTGTTAAAACAAGCAAATCTTCAACAAGGGTTTAGCAAGATTTTCAACATCTGTGCAGATACGTGGAATTTACTGCAGCCCCTACCTCCGCCAAACCAAACCAAATTGGAAGCTTAGGGCATTCCACGAAACCAGATTTTAATATTTCTCTTTAAACTGTGTATAGAGGCAATGTAGTAGTGGTCTCCAATCATTTCTCTACTTCATACACCAAACCTGTACACTGCAGTCTAGGTGGACACAGGCGTTTGCCTCATGCCGCCTGACTGGTAACTCTACCTTCTCTCCCGTGATTTCCTGCAGTCTCCCAGGAGAGCTTAAAATCCTGTCTTGGACCTGCCACACTGGTGACCCTGGGGAGGAAGGCAACAGACCAAGTTTTTCACTAACCAGGTACAAAAGGATTTGACCAATGTGTGAGTTGAATGTTTGTTTCTAAGAGTCGTATTTTTATTTCTAAAAATCATTCAACATTATAAAAGCTACAATTACAAGCATGGGGGCATTTTTTTTTAACAGAATATTTTTTTTTCAGGAGATACAGATTAGTTTTTAATTTCCCAAAAGACAGGTTTATAATTATTTTATTGATAGTTTGCTTCTGACTGAAGCCTGTTCTGCAGTATATAAAAGTAAAGAAATTAAAGTGAATAAATACAAAATCTCTTTTATATTGCTTATTTAAAAATTGCTCGAGGATTTTTCTGGTACACTTAATTCAGTCAAAGCTGACTATTTATAATGCCTAATTCATTTGAGTATTATACAATTATGTGGTATAAAATGCACACTCAAAGCAGTATGAATGAATGTACTTTAAAAAAAAATCTCATAAAAATAGCTGCTAACATTGTGCCGACTGGTAGTCTGGTTTAAAGGGCCACTGTAGACAGGAGGCTGGGGTTCAGTCTTCTGCCTCAGCCCCAAGCCAAAGGAACGTGGTTTTCCAGACACAACTGCAACTCATTCTTGAAGGTGAGGTCAATGTGAAGTGTTTGGTGTTCAAATCAACTTTATGAAAAGAGGAAATTCTCATCAAGGGGTATTTTTGCAGCTTGGCTGAATGCCACAAGAAGTCAGGAGGCCACAAGGCTCCACAGAAAAGGCTCCGGTCCGGCTCTGCTGAGCCCCAGGTGAGAAGGAACACTTACTTACGGACTTCCTGTCTCCAGCTTTTCTAGGTTTGTGCTAGGTTATTCCCTGGGGGTAATGCAACATTCAGTACCAGTGTACTCTTGCAGAGACTAGGGGGAAGGAAGAGGGGTTGGGGGTGGGGGGAGAGGGAGAGGGAGAGGGAGAGGGAGAGGGAGAGGGAGAGGGAGAGAGAGAGAGAGAGAGAGAGAGAGAGAGAGAGAGAGAGAGAGACAGGCATAGACACAGAGAGACAGAGTTGACACAGAGAGAGACACACACACATAGACACACACACAGAGAATATGAATGGAGTTTTAGAAGAAAAAATATTTGATCACAGGGAGGAGAACTGAAAACTCACACCTTTCAGTTTCCATACTTTCTCTTCTGTTCAGTATACAAGGAGAAAGCATTCGGAAGGAAGCAAGATTATGACTATCTATAAACTAACTGTTTGTCAGAGACAGAAATGCTGATAATGAGTGGGTTGTGTCTGTAGTTCTTGGCTATTCACATCACCCAGGGATGAAGGAAAACAGAAACTCTTGATATGTTTGTCTAGAGAGGTAGGGCTGCGACGGCAGCAGCAAGGGTTCAGCTGAAGTTCAGGGCAGATGTTGCCAGCAGTTTATACTGCAGGAAAGTAACATTGCTTCCGGCTTCTCTTCCAGGATCTTTGGGGTCAAGCTGTGCTATGGCATAAGGTGACGATGTCTGTTGGGAAAGAGGCTTTGAGCAGGATGCCCCTTTCCCGGTTGCAGTCCAGTTCCTGGATAAATCCATACCAATAGATGACCAAGCCTGGTCCAAACCTGCAAAAACAACAGAGAATGTCATGCATGCCCCAGGCAACACAGTCCAAAAAACAGACATCTTGGAGGTATAGATAAAAGACAGTTTAAGTGAGTATAATCACACTAGCTTGCTTTGGCCATCATCTCGATGATTGGAGGCAGCTGGATATAAACTTAAGCGCTCACTTAATCCAACTGTTGCTACCTTGATAGATCTGTTTCCTTTCTTTGCAGGAGCCCACCAGATCTAGATTCACCTGTAGCATCTTTCAATAAAGGGCCATGGGTGTGGGCTGAGGACATCATGGCCAAGCTGAGAAAGGCCACAGCTAACGGAGAAGCAGTGATGGGCTGGGGACGCCTGGCTCTGGGAAGCTGGTCTTCTAGTATTTCCTGGTACTACCTTAAAAGTTAAACTTGCCTACTTTTAACAAAGGAAGGAAAAGAATGTTGGAACAACTAGCCATGGTGGTCCATAGTAGCACTTGAAGCCCTTAGGAGGTGGAGGCTGGAGAATCTGTTAGCTTGAAGTCCGCCTGGGCTGTGTAGCAGGGCACTGTCTCAAAACATCTGCAAAATAACTTGGAACAGTGAGACAGACTGAGGTTCTCTCTGGCTATCATGTTTAATTCAAGTATCACTGTAGCCAGAAATATCTCCTGATATTATTTGTGGCTTAGAAAAACAAAAATCTGTGTGTCAAACTGGGATGCCTCAAAAAGGTCTCTACCAACACTCCATTCTCTGCATTGCTTTGTAAGCATGGAAGTGGCACGTGATCTAATGGTAAGCTCCCACAGAAACAAGGGATGGTCACAGAGACTTGTAACTCAGTACGGACGGACAGAGGGAGGTTTAAAAGCTCAGCATGTCTACATTGTGCTCCCTGGGTTTATCTTTGGTTTTGTTAGCAGCTACTGATCCCTTGCCTGGCACACCCAGGAAGTGACCCTACAGACGACTTCACCCATCAGGAAGTTGCGACCTTTAGGCAGGGTTCATAAAGAAGTAATCACTATCAATCACCGGGTACAGAGAGACCCTTCGCATGTCAGTTCCACATTTTCTCTGCTGAGAGTACTTAATTAAAGGGCAGGGCTACTTTTGGTGTAGTGTTGCAGGAATTTTACAGTGAAATCATAAATTATGAATGTTGGGTTAGTGAAAGGATGTGTAAAAACAGAACTGCTTTTTGTATTCTAACATTACAGCAGGCTGAACCAAGCTAGGCCAAAAGCTTTTGCCTCCCATGATTTATTATCTGCTGTGGTGTACCTGCCAAAACTAACAGTCCAGGATGGGCTAGGAGACACTGTAATGCACGGGAACAAGTTTAGTTGGATGTCAAGGGCTGGCTTATTTGGGGATTCACACCAGTGGGTAAGCCTAGTTGTAGTCAAGATGAATTCAACCCTTTTGAGTCTCCTCTGAGTAGAGACAATCTTTTGAATTGGGTCTTGTGAGAGTTTAGGGAAGGGCAGAGATGCTCTCTTATTCCTCAGCATCTCCAAGGAAAAGTATTCTTTGAAATAGAAGAATTAGGTTCCTTCTGTGTGCACTGAGGATGAGCACCAAGACTTAGATACCCAAGTTCATACTTGCACAAGAGCTGGCTTTGACTTAACAAATTGTTTCTTAGCAATCGCATGTGCGCGCGTGCGCACACACACACACACACACACACACACACACACACACACTGTTCACAATGGGAACATAAGCCATTGTGTGGCTAAACTCCATAAAGAGTTTTGAGAGTTGTGCCAAATGATGTCAGAGTTACCAAAGCAAATCTTGTAAGAGACAAAGGACCTGCGTCTCTGTGGGCCTCGCACAAGCCCTAAATCATCTCATTGTAATACACCGGCACCAAGGCCTCCAAGAATCTGATAGCAAGCTCCATACGTTTCTCCACTTTATTAGGCAGCCACTCTGGAGACCACAGTGTTCTTCAGAAAGGCACTAATATTTTTACTAAGGGAGCAAAAGTGTGATCTAACCAGTCATGAAGAAGAACAAAAGAATATACGGGCATCATAAAAAGCAAGCCTGGTATTTTAAAGATTTAATAAAACAAAAAACACACATCACTAGCACTGGGCAAGCAACAGCAGCCTGCACTTCCCCTGAACAGCTAAATCACAAGCCAAAGGACTGGGAGCATGACAGCTCTTTATGAAAATGGCCCTTTCTAGACAGAGAGGCCAGGCTGGGGAACACCTCCATGCTCAAGAAAATGGCTTGTTTCACTTGTGAGGCAACAGCTGAAATCTGGCAAACCATGGAGGTTTTGGCAGGATTGTGAACCTGAACATTTTAAGTGATGGTTCAGGACCAGGATTCCCAAAAGCCAGTTGTCTGGATGTATTTCCGAAACTGCCAGGACTCTACCATCTCATCTCATATTATCTTTAAGGTTCTTGTGGGAGTTAGAAAACACCAGTCCTCTCATGAGCTCAAAATCTCTAATGAAGAAATGTTGTCTGATTAGGTAAAAATGAATAAATATAACTTCTTATATGTACAGACTGCTAGGGCTTTTAATTACATGGTTCATAAGAGACAAAGATAATATGGATTCTTAGAAGGTGACAGGTTTGGAACTAGAATGACAGAATAGCATCTGGCTTTGCTTCCTTGTGCTTCTCTGAGTTCTTTAGCAGCTCAGGATCCTGAGGTTATCAGATGCTGGCAAGACAGACTTTGGGCAGTTTACTGTTTATGAAGAAGCTGACCACATAGAGCTAGCCTGAGCTAATGTGTGAGACAATGTCTTAGAGCCTGGATGGAGGATGCTCACTACTGGTGCTGAACCTCCCACTGCTCAGAGGCACTCAGCCCATGAACACATGAATAGTGTCTGACCCTTCTCATGGGTCACCATGATTTGACTGTTGCAGTTTATATTTCCTTGAGGAACAGATACTAGGACGAGAGTCACTACTGAACAAGTAATCTGTTTATGAGCAAAATAATTGGTTAATTTAACAAATAGCTCTTGAGAAAGATGGGGAAGGTCAAGAGCTTGAAGGGACAAAATAATGTCAATTTTACAAAGGTGTGAAGCATTTTTCTGGCTTCCTGCCACTTTAGGGTACTTAGAAACATTGAGTAGGAGATGCTGGCACTAACACTGGGTGTCGTCTGTGCATCCATCTTTCAGGGACCATGCTGTACATCATCATTTCTTTTTATTCTGGGACACAGATGAGGGTAGAGATCATGTATTACTACCATTCATAGCCGCAGGGCTGCACAAGACAGTGCCTAGCTCATGGCAGATAGTCACTGGGACAAGATGAAGGATGAGCTCAACAACAGACGCCCCAGGCAGCTTAGTACTGTTTGCTGTATCAGTTGTGGTCTAGAGACAGCAGTGCTGGTGGACTCAACATGGTTATTCAGAATGACCTGGAACGAATACATCGACGACGTATGTAGAGATCACAGTGACAATAGGTATATCAACATCTCTTCTAGGCTGAACTAGATAGTAACGTGACTCCACGGTGGTTGTAGTAAGAGAAGAAGCACTGAAAATATGTGTATAAAGTATATAGGAAACATACATGAATGTTGTTTTGAGACCTGTATCCCATCTCTGAAGATATCTTAATAGACAGTGCAAATGTTCAGAATTTCGAAAGAAACCCAAATCTGAAAGACTTCTGGTCCCATGTACTTAGTATATCAGATGCCCATACTGCATTAATGCTTCTATAACATTTCCAGGTGCCACAGATACTTCTGAACAGTTCCAACAAATGAACTCACTTAATTCTGTGACAATATCATAAATTAGATTTAAGTACACTCCCTGTTTTACAAAAGAAGAAACTAGGGCAAAAGGTCATTTAGTACTGGGCTGTCTGTGACTGTACTAGTGGCATGTGTAGTGATCCACCTAACTGAACAGGATGAGAGAGGGGCAGAATTGAACCAGAAAAGGGGGAAGTACCTTGTGCTAACTAGACTCAACCAAGAATGCTTTGGACAGTTGTGAGGCCATGTTTACAGAGATCAGCTGTCAGTTCCCAGTTGGAACTGACTTAGAGGAGAATCTTAGGATATTTGGGGAACTGCCAGGATCACAGAGCATGCCTAACCTAGAAAGAACCATAGCATAGCAACACGTTCTTAGCACACCAATTTCAAGAGGGCTCTTGGGGAGCTGATTCACGTTGTTTCTCTCTCTCTCTCTCTCTCTCTCTCTCTCTCTCTCT